TTGCTGAGGCAGTCCGCCATTGCATAGAGAGTCCACCATTACAGAGGTGGGCCACCATTGCCGAGGCAGTTCTAACTATACCCCTATAAACAGGACTGTAGGGAGGTTCACGTAGCAGCTGGGTGGAGCCCATAGCAGCTCAGCAAAGCCTCTGCAGGCAAACCGTGACTAGGCTGCCTCCTCGCTGGGCAGGGCAGCCCTGAAAAAAGGCAGCAGCATGACAGAAACTTATAAATAAAGCTCTACCTTCCTGGGACAGAGCACCTGGGGGAAAAAAAAAGGTGTTTATGAGTTCTGCTGCAGCAGACTTAAATGTACCTGCGCAACAGCTCTGAATGAAACAACAGAGCTCACTGCTCAGCACTTGAGCACCTAGGAAGGACAGACTCTCAAGCAGCTCCTTGACCCCCATATATCCAAAGAGTCACCTCATAAAGGAGAGCTCAGACTGACATCTGGCGAGTATCCTTTTGGGACAAAGATAGCAGAAGAAGAAACTGGCAGCAACCCTTACTGTTCTGCAGCCACTGGAGGTGATCACCAGGCAAGCAGGGCCTGGAGTGGACCTCCAGCAGTCCTATAGCAGAGGAGCCTGACTGTTAGAAGGAAAACTAAGAAACAGAAAGAAATAACTTCATCATCAATAAACAGGATATCCACTCAGAGACCCTATCTGAAAGTTAACAACTACAAAGACCGCAGGTAAATAAATCCACAAAGATGGGAAGAAACCAGTGCAAAAAGGATGAAAACACCAAAAATCAGAATGCTGCTCCTCTTCCAAGGGATCACAACTCCTCACCAGCAAGGGAACAAGGCTGGAGGGAGAATGAGTCTGATGAATTGACAGAACAGGCTTCAGAAGGTGGGTAATAAGAAACTTCTCTGAGCTAAAAGAACATGTTCTAACCCAGTGCAAAGAAACTAAGAACGTTTAAAAAAGGTTTGATGAAATGCTAATGAGAATGAAAAGCTTAGGAATATAAATGAAACAATGGAGCTGAAAAACACAACACAAGAACTTCATGAAGTGCACACAAGTTTCAGTACCGAATTGACCAAGCAGAAGAAGGGATATCAGAGGTCGAAGATCAACTCAATGAAATAAAATGAGAAGGCAAGATTAGAGAAAAAAGGGTAAAAATAAATGAGCAAAGTCTCCAAGAAATATGGGACTATGTGAAAAGACCTAATTTACATTTGATAGATGTACCTGAACATGACAGAGAGAATGAATCCAAGCTGGAAAGTACTCTTCAAGATATCTAGGAAAACTTCTCCAACCTAGCAAGGCAGGCCAGTATTCAAGTCCAGGAAATACAGAGAACACCACAAAGATACTCCTCAGGAAGAGCAACCCCAAGGCACATAATCGTCAGATTCACCAGGGTTGAAATGAAGGAGAAAATGCTAAGTGCAGCCAGAGAGAAAGGTTGGGTTACACACAAAGGGAAGCCCATCAGACTCACAGCGGGTCTCTCAGCAGAAACCCTATAAGCCAGAAGAGAGTGGGGGCCAATATTCAACATCCTTAAAGAAAAGAACTTTCAACCCAGAATTTCATATCCAGCCAAACTAAGCTTTGTAAGCGAGGGAGAAATAAAATCCTTTATGAACAAGCAATTACTCAGATACTTCATCACCACCAGGCCTGCTTTACAAGAGCTTCTGAAAGAAGCACTAAACATAGAAAGGAACAGCCAGTACCAGCCACTCCAAAAACATACCAAATGGTAAAGAGCATCAACACAATGAAGGAACTGCATCAACTAATGGGCAAAACAGCCAGCTAGCATCAAAATGGCAGGATCAAATTCACAATAACCCTAAATGTAAATGGGCTAAATGCCCTAACCAGAAGACACAGACTGGCAAATTGGATAAAAAGCCAAAACCTTTCAGTATGCTGTATCCAGGAAACCCATCTCACATGCAAGGATGCATAAAGGCTCAAAATAAAGGGATGGAAGAAGATTTACCAAGCAAATGGAGAGCTAAAAAAAAGCAGGAGTTGCAATCTTAGTTTCTGATAAAATAGACTTTAAACCAACAAAGATCAAAAGAGACAAAGAAGGACATTACATAATGGTAAAAGGATCAATGCAACAAGAAGAGCTAACGATCCTAAATATATACACACCCAATACTGGAGCACCCAGATACATAAAGCAAGTTCTTAATGACTTACAAAGAGACTTAGACTCTCACACAATAATAATGGGAGACTTTAACACTCCACTGTCAATATTAGATCAACGAGACAGAAAATTAACAAGGATTTTAAGGACTTGAACTCAGACCTGGACCAAGCAAACCTAATAAACCTTTACAGAACTCTCCACCCCAAATCCTCAGAATATACATTCTTCTCAGCACCACATCACACCTACTCTAAAATTGACCACATAATTGGAAGTAAATAACACCTCAGCAGAACAGAAATCATAACAGTCTGTCAGACCACAGTGCAATCAAGTTAGAACTCAGAATTCAGAAACTAACTCAGAACCACACAGCTTCATGGAAACTGAACAACTGGCTCTTGAATGTTGACTGGATAAACAATGAAATGAAGGAAGAAATAAAGATGTTCTCTGAAATGAACGAGAATGAAGACACAACATACTAGAATCTCTGGGACACATTTAAAGCAGTGTCTAGAGGAAAATATATAGGAATAAATGCCCACATGAGAAGCAAGAAAAGATCTAAAATTGACACCCTATTGTCAAAATTGAAAGTGCTAGAGGAGCAAGATAAAATTCAAAACCTAGCAGAAGGCAAGAAATAACTAAGATCAGAGCAGAACTGAAGGAGACACAAAAAAAACCCTTCAAAAAATTAATAAATCCAGGAGCTGGTTTTTCAAAAAGATCAACAAAATAGATCACTAGCCAGATTAATAAAAAAGAAAAGAATAATCAAATAGATGCAATAAAAAATGATAAAGGGGATATCACCATAGATTCCACAGAAATACAAACCATCATCAGAGATTATTACAAACAACTCTATGCACATAAACTAGTAAACCTGGAAGAAATGGATAAATTCCTGGACACGTGCATCCTCCCAAGGCTAAACCAGGAAGAAGTCAAAACCGCAAATAGACCAATAATGAGGGCTGAAGTTGAAGCACCAATTGACAGCCTACCAACCAAAAAAAGCCCAGGTCCAGATGGGTTCACAGCCAAATTCTACCAGACATACGAAGAGCAGCTGGTACCATTCCTTCTGAAACTATTCCAAACAATCCAAAAAGAGGGAATCCTTCCCAAATCATTTTATGAGACGAACATCATCCTGATACCAAAACCTGGCAAAGGCTCAACAAGAAAAGAAAATATCCATGTTACCAAAACAGAGAAATAGACCAATGGAACAGTACAGAAGCCTCAGAGGCAACACCACACATCTACAACCATCTGATCTTTGACAAAACTGACAAAAACAAGCAATGGGGAAAGGATTCCCTGTTTAATAGATGGTGTTGGGAAAACTGGCTAGCCATGTGCAGAAAGCAGAAACTGGACCCCTTCCTGACACCTTCCGCTAAAATTAACTCCAGATGGATTAAAGACTTAAAACATAAGACCTAACACCATAAAAACCCTAGAAGAAAATCTAAGCAAAAAAAAAAAAAAAAAAAAAACCATTCAGGACATAGGCATAGGCAAGGACTTCCTGACTACAACACCAAAAGCATTGGCAACAAAAGCCAAAATAGACAAATGGGACCTAACCAAACTCCACAGCTTCTGCACAGCAAAAGAAACAGTCATTAGAGTGAATCAGCAACCAACAGAATGGGAAAATATTTTTGCAATCTACCCATCTGATAAAGGGCTAATATCCAAAACCTACAAAGAATTAAAACAGATTTACAAGAAATAAACAAGCCCATTCAAAAGTGGGCAAAGGATATGAACAGACACTTCTCAAAATAAGACATATATGAGGCCAACGAACATGAAAAAATGCTCATCATCACTGGTCATTAGAGAAATGCAAATCAAAACCACCTTGAGATACCACCTCATGCCAGTTAGAATGGTGATCATTAAAAAATCAGGAGACAACAGATGCTGGAGAGGATGTGGAGAAATAGGAACACTTTTACACTGTTGGTGGGAATGTAAATTAGTTCAACCATTGTGGAAGACAGTGTGGCGATTCCTCAAGGACCTAGAAATAGAAATTCCATTTGACCCAGCAATCTTATTACTGGGTATATATCCAAAGGATTATAAATCATTCTATTATATGGATACATGCACACAAATGATCATTGTGGTACTGTTTACAATAGCAAAGACTTGGAACTAACCCAAATGCTCATCAATGATAGACTGGACAGGGAAAATGTGGTACTTATACACCATGGAATACTGTGCAGCCATAAAAAACGATGAGTTCGTGTCCTTTGTAGGGACATGGATGAACCTGGAAACCATCATTCTCAGCAAACTGACATAAGAGCAGAAAATCAAACACCACATGTTCTCACTCATAGGCAGGTGTTGAACATTGAGAACACATGGACACAGGGAGGGGAGCATCACACACTGGGGTCTGTGAAGGAGAAATAGGGGAGGGACAGCAGGGGATGGGGAGTTAGGGACGGATAAGATGGGAAGAAATGCCAGATATAGGTGGGAGAGGAAGCCAGCAAACTACACTGCCATGTATGTACCTGTGCAACAGTCTTACATGTTCTTCACATGTACCCCAAAACCTAAAATGCAATAATTAAAAATATATATTTGTTTTTAACTCACTATCATGACTCCTGTTGTCTTATATTAATCCAAAGGTCTGATTGACAATTATATGTCTCTGACTAATAAAACATAGAAGACATTCAGAGGTTCTAAAATAGCTTCTCTTTTTTGTTGTTGCTAAGATGGAGTCTCACTCTGTCACCAGGCTGGAATGCAGTGACGTGATCTCAGCTCACTGCAACCCTCGCCTCCTGGCTTCAAGCGATTCTTCTGCCTCAGCCTCCCTAGTAGCTGGGACAACAGGTGTGTGCCACCATGCCCAGCTAATTTGTTTGTTTTTAGTAGGGATCGGGTTTCACCATGTTGGCCAGGATGGTTTCGATCTCTTGACCTTGTGATCCACCCATCTTGGCCTTCCAAAGTGCTGGGATTACAGGTGTGAGCCACTGCGCCCAACCACTTGGTCTCTGCTTCTCCTCTTGTCCCCTTCGAATCCAATCTCCATGTGGAGGCAGAAAGATCTTCAAAAGCTCAGTAGGATCCGGCTTAGTCTCCAGCTTAAACCCCTTCAGTAGCTTCCCATTGCCCTGGGAGAAAACCAACTCTTTTCCAGGTTCTGATCGTACTTTTTTCCATGTCTTAGTTTGGTTCTTTTCTGTGCTCCCACACACTGGTCATGTTGGTCTTTTACTCCCTAGAAAGCAGCTACATGAGTTTCTCTCCCCACAGGGCCTTTGCACCAGCTGTGCCTTCTGAATGTGCTTCGCCCCCAGCTCTCCCTGTGCGTTGTTCCCTCTTAGTATTCAGGTTTCAGTTGAACTGATGCCTAGGAAGACAAATCAGTTTTAGATTTCTTACCTCTGCCTTATTCTCTCTCACAGAATCTTGTTTTATACTTTCTATTAAAAAGGGTATTTTAATAAATGTTTTTGTACGCATTCGCATTCACTTTCTTGCTTTCTATGTATTGTCTGCCTTTCTCCACTAGACTCCACCTCCGCGAGGGCACAGGACCATGTCTGTTTTGTTCATCACTGTGCCTGTTGTAGTACCTAGCACATAGCAGGCACTCAATAAACATCTGTTGAATGCATTAAAGCAATGAGGTGGATAAAATTCAAAATATGCAGTTTATAGGATAAATTTTTTAATTACTATAATTGTTCTATATGCTACTGTAAAAGTATTCTAATAATACACAGGGCACAAAGTTAATAGATATTTTTCTCTCTAAGCTGCAGTACCACTCAGTGGGGATAATTCTATCAAAGGCTTTCAGTTCCAGGAGTTTGAGACCAGCCTGGGAAACACAGTGTAACCCCATCTCTACAAAAAATAAAAAAATTAGCCAGGTGTGGTAGTTGATGCCTGTAGTCCCAGGTACTTGGGATGCTGAGGTGGAAGGATCTCTAGAGCCTACAAGTTAGAGGTTACAGTGAGCTATGACTGATCACTGCACTCCAGCAGCCTGAGCAACAGAACAAGACCCTGTCTCTAAAAAAAAAAAAAAAAAAAAACCCTCAGTGGTAAAATGTGGAGGAATATGTCAGGAATATGTTTTGAAACTTGTGCTTCAGCCAAGTTTCACCGGGTATGGTGACTCAAGTCTGTAATCCTAGCACTTTGGGAGGCCAAGGCAAGTGGATCACTTGAGGTCAGGAGTTCGTGACCAGCCTGTCCAGCATGGTGAAATCCCATCTCTACTAAAAATACAAAAAAAATTAGCTGAGTGTGGTGGTGCATGGCTGTAGTTCTTGCTGCCTGGGAGACTGAGGAAGGAGAATGCTTGAACCCGGGAGATGGAGGTTGCAGTGATCTCAGATTGTGCCATTGCACTACAGTCTGGGTAACAGAGCAGGACTATGTCTCAAAAAAGAAAAAAAAAGTTGTGCTTCATGGTTTTCTAGTATCCTAAAATATTATGTATTTTAATTTAGTTACCATATGAGATGATGAAATTTAAAAAAAACACTAAGAAGTCACCTCTGGGGAGGGGATAGGTTAAGACACAAATGATAAAGAACAAGCCAGGTAAAGCAGGATGGTGCTGGGTTTCAGGAGTAAGGGGCTATCCGGTGCTGGGTTTCAGGAGTAAGGGGCTATCCAGGTGGAGGGGGCAGCAATTAGCAAAGCCCTGTGGTAGTAAATATTAATACTTAGGTATCCAAAGATCTAAAATTAAGCCAGCCATCTTAAAGTACTTTGGGAGAGTGGTTTGAGATGAGGATTCAAAAATCAGTAGAAGCCACATTATTCAGAGCCTTCAAAAAGTCCATGGAAAAATGAAATTAAACGAGAAAAATAAAATGTATTTAAAAAGTTAACCCTTACAATTGTTAAAGTATTTGGATTTTCTTTTGTATGCAAAAGGCAGCCATTGAACAGGTTTAAAAAGAGAAGTTATATGATGTAATTTGTTTTAAATGAAATTTCTCTGGCTATTCTCTGAAAGTGTGATTGGAAGGGAGTAGTATTTTCAGAAATTCAGGAGGAAAAAGATAGTGATAGTTTAACCTAGGAGCATTTGGAGATATGTGGTTAAATTCAAGATAAATTTTGGAGTTAGAGGTGATCATTTAGAAGCCCCCCTGCTCCTGTTGGGCCTTTCTTTTTTTTTTTTTTTTTTTGAGATGGAGTTTCGCGCTTGTTACCCAGGCTGGAGTGCAATGGCGCGATCTCGGCTCACCGCAACCTCCGCCTCCTGGGTTCAGGCAATTCTCCTGCCTCAGCCTCCTGAGTAGCTGGGATTACAGGCACGCACCACCATGCCCAGCTAATTTTTTGTATTTTTAGTAGAGACGGGGTTTCACCATGTTGACCAGCATGGTCTCAATCTCTTGACCTCGTCATCCACCCGCCTCGGCCTCCCAAAGTGCTGGGATTACAGGCTTGAGACACCGCGCCCAGCCAGGCCTTTCTTAATCAGTTACTCCTCCCTCTGGAGAAATATTTCTATCTGGGCTTGATTTTCCCCCTCACTTTCAAATGAGCCTCAGTCACCTTCACTTTAACAGAAAACATTTCCTATTCTGTCTTTAAGATCTTTCCTCAGGTAATTTAACTTGATAAATGTCTGGAAAGTTTATTAGTTATCACTCAGTTTAACTTTTATTCAGCCCTCAGTACTATGCCAGTATTTGCTAAAACTCCATTAATGACTTGCTAATTGCCAAATTTAGTAGTTTATTTCTAGTCCTCATTCTGTTTGTCCTCACTGTAACAAGGATGATTTTAACCACTGCATCCATGGAATTATCTCCTCCTTTGAATCCTGGGATAGTGTTATTGTTGTCTTGTCTTCTATTCTTCCTGCTGTCTCCATTTCAGTCTTTTTTTTTTTTTTTTTTTTTTTTTGAGACGGAGTTTCGCTCTTGTTACCCAGGCTGGAGTGCAATGGCACGATCTCGGCTCACCGCAACCTCCGCCTCCTGGGCTCAGGCAATTCTCCTGCCTCAGCCTCCTGAGTAGCTGGGATTACAGGCACACGCCACCATGCCCAGCTAATTTTTGTATTTTTAGTAGAGACAGGGTTTCACCATGTTGGCCAGGATGGTCTCGATCTCTCGACCTCGTGATCCACCCGCCTCGGCCTCCCAAAGTGCTGGGATTACAGGCTTGAGCCACCGTGCCCTGCCCCTTTTTTTTTTTTTTTTTTTTTTTTTTTTTTTTTTTTTTTTTTGAGATGGAGTCTTGCTCTGTTGCCCAGGCTGGAGTGCAGTGTCATGATGTCGGCTCACTGCAACCTCTGCCTCCTGGGTTCAAGCAGTTCTCCCTGCTAAACTTCCTGAGTAGCTTGGATTACTGGCACATGCCGCATTACCCAGTTAATTGTTCCATATTTTTTGATAGAGACAGGGTTTCACTGTGTTGGCCAGGCTGGTCTTGAACTCCTGCCCTCAAGTGATCTGCCTGCCTTGGCCTTCCTAAATGCTGGGATTACAGGCATGAGCCACTGTGCCTGCCTTCCATTTCAGTCTTGTTTGCTCACTTCTTGTCCTCTCAACAGCTTTCTGCCTGCCTTTCCTCCCTTTCTCCCTATTACAAAAGTGATAATATGAAACTATACAGTTTTTAAAACGTTTTCTGCTGGGTGCCATGGCTCAAGCCCATAATCCTAACATTTTGGGAGGCTGAGGCAGGCAAATTACCTGAGCTCAGGAGTTTGAGTCCAGCCTGGGCAACATGGTGAAATACCTTATCTACTAAAAATACAAAAAATTAGCTGGGCATGATGGTGCCCACCTGTAATCCGAGCTACTCTGGAGGCTGAGGCACTGAAATTCACTTGAACCCGGGAGGTAGAGGTTGCAGTGAGCAGAGATTGTGCCACTGCACTCCAGCCTGCAACAGAGGAAGACTGTCTCAAAAAAAACCTTTTTTTTGATCCCAGCTCCCACTTACCAGAAGAATTCTTTAATGAATTGGGATGTATTTTGGGGGGATTAAAAAAAGTTTTTTGAAGCCTTAAAATTTACAACAAATAAAGTCTTTGCACTGAAAATTCCAAACAATGTAACAATAAAAAGGCTGGGTGGGCACAGAGGCTTACGCCTGTAATCCCAACACTTTGGGCAGATCACTTGAGGTCAGGAGTTTGAGACCAGCCTGGCCAACATGGTGAAACCCCATCTCTACTAAAAATACAAAAATTCACTGGGCATGAGTTGGGTACCTGCAATCCCAGCTACTTGGGAGGCTGAGGCATGAGAATTGCTTGAACTTGGGAGGTGGAGGTGGCAATGAACTGAGATCAGAGGAGGTGAGGAGGGTGAAGGGGAGGAGGGGAAAGGGAAGAAGGGAAGGGAGGGAGGGGAAGAGAAGAAAGGAAAGAAGGAAGGAAGGGAGGAGAGAAAAGAGAAACCCTTCAAACTGTGAAGTGGGACAATGGGATTCAGACTGATAGATGCCAATGTATATTTTCCCTGGAGTAATGTACCTTTACTCTGTATCTCAAAGAAGACTAACCACAAGCAAGGTCAGTGAGCAAACACACTAGGAAACAGGACACCAAGGATCATTATCAGTGTAAAAACAGATAATGGAATATTAGTCTTATGTTATAAAATCACTGTGTTTACCTGGTTTGAAGACATAAAAGTTAATGTGAAAGGATTTATACGTAGTATGTCACTATAGAGTTACCTTGCAGATTTGGGAAAAAGAAAAGGAACAAAAACGTCTAGAAATGAAAAATAAAATAATCAACATGTAAATCTTAGGCTAGAAACAAGCCTTGAAAGGATGAAACTGAACTTAAACTTCCTACAAGAACAAACATTCTTTAATAAAAAACCAGAAGGCTTGATCCAGGTCTCAAGTCATGCTGTCAGCACTTATATTCTCTCTTCCTTCTCAGCGTTACTTTCTTGATGCTTCAAGATAGTTGCTAGCAGTTCCTAGGTCTACAGAGTTAAAGTTCTGACTTGAAATAACAAAAGTCATGTTCCTTAACTTAGCTCCCTTCTTTTCTTTTTTTTTCCCCAGTGGTTTGGCAGAGCCAGTGTGCTCCCTCTGTGACTCTAGCCAAAGAAGCTCCCTTATCTTCCGTCTCTCTCTGATGGTATATTTGCAGAACAAATGCTTGAGTGAATGGAGCAGTCAGCTGTCAATCTTCAGTCCCCTTAGGTAGAGAGCAGGCAGCTGGGTAGTCTTTGCCTTCACACCAGCCACTCACTGATGGGATTTTTCTCTCCCTAGTTATAGGCTATCCTTCAGTGCCTTTGTTTGAACATTACATAATTAATGATTACAAAGCTTATTTCATGTTGGCGGGAATTGTTTTTGACCACAGCTTCAGTGACAGCAGTAGATCTTTGCCACTTGCGGTAAGAACATTCTTTAACAATCGTGCTGTGCTACCCAGGCTTGAGCATGTGTTCCTCGTTGGCAGACCTGCCCCCTGCTTTCCTCTATGGCAGCTTTGTCGTCCTATTTTCAGAGGAGATAAACAAAGGCTCCTGTGTTTCATGTCTTACAACCTAGACTTTGAGGTTCCATCCAGTTTTCAAATTCTTTAGAAGACTTGTTCTGAGCAAGCCTTTATCCTGAGGATTCAGGGTGGGATATATTAATCTACCTGGTGACAGAAGCAGACTACAACATGAGGCTCCACAGACTTGAGTCCCAATCCTGCAACTCACTAGCTGTGTAACCTTGGGAAAGTTATCAACATTTCTGGTCCTCAGTGTCCTTATTGTTGTGAGGACTAAATGAGTTTTATGCCTATTAAGTCCTTAGAACAAAGCCTAGAACAGAACAACTTTTCAGAAGGATTAGTTATTGTTGTCATTACTAGTAATCTCATGAACTTAAGATATGGTATGAGTGTGAGTTTGTTTAAAGAAAAGTTAATGTTGTAAACATGGGACTATTTGGTTTATGTTCTGGGATGGGAAAACCACTCATGTATAGCTTTTGTGCTGTATAGTATATCTGATGATTAATTGTTAGAACTTTTGTGTGTGTGTGTGTGTGTATCGACAGGGCTGGAGTGCAGTGGCATGACCTCAGCTCACTGCAACCTCCACCCCGGGGATTTAAGTGATTCCCCTGCCTCAGCCTCTCGAGTAGCTGTGACTACAGGTGTGTACCACCACGCCTGGTTAATTTTTTTTTAATTTGTACTAGAGATGAGGTTTTACCATGTTGGCCAGAATGGTCTCAATCTCCTGACCTCATGATCTGCCCACCTTGGCCTCCCAAAGTGCTGGGATGACAAGTGTGAGCCACCATGCTCAGCCTAATTGTTAGAACTTGCATGGACTACTGGTAGATGGCGAGAGATATGTTAGTAAAATAACCAACAATGTTTTTCAAGCATTTATTAATGCTAGGCAAATCACAGGTACCATCTGGCTCGATCCTACTGTAGCCTATGAGGTAGATGTTAATATGATCCCCATTTTACTGATGTGGAAACAGGAATGAAAATTAAGTAATTTGCCCAAGGTGACCAGGCTATTCCGTAGGAGATTTGGGGTTAGAATCTGGGTGGTCTGACTCCAGAGCCCTTGCTGTTGATTGTTATGCAGCACACCATTCCTGAAGGAGGCTCAGGAGCGGCTGTGTGCTTCCTAGGCTGGCAGCAGGGACAATTTCCAGAGTACACAGGGAAGACCACTGTTGTAGCATGCTCCCCGAAGAGAAACCTGCCAGTGTGGGCCTCCGTTACAGCTAACATCAAGCACAGCTTTGCTCTGTCCTGTGCCTTTGCTGAGTTTCAGGATTTTATAACCGAATTTGTTTTTTCTTTGTTCTTTATAGGTTAAGTATACCTTGCGCTTCAGTAACATTCAGAGGAATTTTTTCCTGGAGAAGCATATATTTTTTGAAGATGACCTGTATGGCTGGTGCACATCCTTTCTTTACTCTCCCAATCCACGCCAAGAACCCCGGGAATTTCCATTTTCTGATGGAAGAAGTCCTGGTGAGAAAGCCCCAAAGCCTGTGTGTTGAGAGCTTGGCTGCGGACAGGCTCTGTTTCTCAGGCCTGTAATCCCAGCACTTTGGGAGGCTGAGGCAGGCGGATCACCTGAGGTCAGGAGTTTGTGATCAGCCAGACTAACATGGAGAAACCCCATCTCTACTAAAAATACAAAATTAGCCAGGCATGGTGGCACATGCCTGTAATCCCAGCTACTTGATAGGCTGAGGTAGGAGAATTGTTTGAACCTGGGAGGCGGAGGTTCAAGCCTGTAATGGAATGATCTTGGCTCACTGCAACCTCTGCCTCCCTGATTCAAGTAATTCTCCTGCCTCAGCCTCCTGAGTATCTGGGATTACAGGTGCCTGCCACCACGCCTAGCTAATTTTTTGTATTTTTAGTAGAGTCAGGGATTCACCATGTTGGCCAGGCTGGTCTCGAACTCCTGACTTCAGGTGATCCACCCACCTCAACCTCCCAAAATGCTGGGATTATGGGCGTGAATCACCACTCCTGGCCCTATTCCATCTTTTTAAATACATGTCCTATTCAACACATGTCGCATTGTGTGATCTATGGCTAACATATCTCCCTTACAATCTCCACTGACCATGTCCTTTGCATTTCATCCATCTCATTTAATTTAATGAAGAGGAAACAGAAGATAGTCATCCATACTCTCAGGACTCTCTGCCTGCCTGTGCAGCTCCAAAGAGTCTGTTCCTGCTTGATGGAATCCTTGAACTCTGTCTGGCCTGTTCATTGGCTGATGCTTCACTTTGATTTTATTCACTCTGACTGATGCTTTAGAGCTTGCCTTGATTCTTATTCTGTCCTCACAACCCCATCTGCACCGTTCCCAGTTCCTGTTCTTCAGGACTTGTGGTCTTGGCTGGCCCTCTCCCTTTCCCCCTCATGAATCTCCCTAACTGCATTTCTAGGCTGGGAAAAGCTCCTTCTCCCTTCCTGTCATTTAGGATAAGTGGACAGAAAATTAATGCCAGTGTAATCCCAGCACTTTGGGAGGCCGAGGCGGGTGGATCACGAGGTCGAGAGATCAAGACCATCCTGGTCAACATGGTGAAACCCCGTCTCTACTAAAAAGTGCAAAAAATTAGCTGGGCATGGTGGCACGTGCCTGTAATCCCAGCTACTCAGGAGGCTGAGGCAGGAGAATTGCCTGAACCCAGGAGGCGGAGGTTGCGGTGAGCCGAGATCGCGCCATTGCACTCCAGCCTGGGTAACAAGGGCGAAACTCCGTCTCAAAAAAAAAAAGAAAAAGAAAAAAGAAAATTAATGCCAGAAGGTTGGAGTTTTTCCAGGAGTTCCTATTTGTCCCAGGGGCTGGCATGTGGTCCCAAAGCCAGGTCCTGACTCCTGGCTGCTAAAGTCCTCTCTCCTTGGGCAGCCATGCTGACTTTCTGCTCTGCCACCCTCTGTTGATGGTGAAGGAGAGCTTTGCTGAGTGGCTACTCACCATCGGCTTGCTCTTTCCCATGCAATGGGGTGTAACTGCACCTGACAGAGCAGACACCTAAAACTTGGCACCCAGTGCTCCCTGGACCTGCCTGCATTGCCCAACTCTTGCTTCTGGCAACCTCAGGTTCCTAGAGAAGTAGTGGGGCAACACTGACACCTGTGCATCCTCTGCCCTTCACAGTAAGCATTACATTCCTGACTGAAGGTATACAGGCCAATCCTCTCTTGAAAGACTCATGCTCAGCTGGGCGTGGTGACTCATGCCTGTAATCGCAGTACTTTGAGTCTGAGGTGGGCAGATCACTTCAGGTCAGGAGTTCAACACCAGCCTGGCCAACATGATGAAACCCCATCTCTACTAAAAATACAAAAAAATTAGCTGGGCGTGGTGGCGGGTGCCTGTAATCCCAGCTACTAAGGAGGCTAAAGAGGCTGAGGCAGAGAATCACTTGAACCTGGGAAGCAGAGGTTGCAGTGAGCTGAGGTGTGCCACTGCATTCCATCCTGGGCAAGAGTGAAACTCCATCTCAGGAAAAAAAAAAAAAGAAAGAAAGAGAAAGACTCATGTTCTCCAATTCACTTTAGATTTCTCCAGATGAATTAAAAACTTAAACATAACACCTAATACCATAAAAACCTTAGAAGAAAACCTAGGCAAAACCATTCAGGACATAGGCATAGGCAAGGACTTCATGACTAAAACATCAAAAGCATTGGCAACAAAAGCCAAAATAGACAAATGGGATCTAATTAAACTCCAGAGCTTCTGCACAGCAAAAGAAACAGTCATTAGAGTGAACCAGCAACCAACAGAATGGGAAAAAATTTTTGCAATCTACCCATCTGATGAAGGACTTATATCCAAAATCTACAAAGCACTAAAACAGGTTTACAAGAAAAAAACAAGCCCATTCAAAAGTGGACAAAGGATATGAACAGACACTTTTCAAAATAAGAAATATATGAGGCCAATGAACATATGAAAAAATGCTCATCATCACTCATGAGAAATGCAAATAAAAACTACATTGAGATGCCATCTCACACCAGTTAGAATGGCGATCATTAAAAAATCTGGAGACAACAGATTCTGGAGAGGATGTGGAAAAATAGGAACACTTTTACACTGCTAGTGGGAGTGTAAACTAGTTCAACCATTGTGGAAGACAATGTGGCAATTCCTCAAGGATCTAGAAATAGAAATTCCATTTGACCCAGCAATCTCATTACTGGGTATATATCCAAAGGATTATAAATTGTTCTATTATAAGGACACATGCACATATATGTTCACTGCAGCATTTTTCACAATATCAAAGACTTGGAACCAACCCAAATGCCCATCAATGTATAGACTGGACAGGGAAAATGTGGCACATATACACCATAGAATACTGTGCAGCCATAAAAAATGATGAGTTTGTGTCCTTTGTAGGGACATGGATGAACTTGGAAACCATCATTCTCAGCAAACTGACACAAGAACAGAAAATAAAACACTGCATGTCCTCACTCATAGGTGGGTGTTGAACAATGAGAACACATGGACACAGGGAGGGGGGCATCGCACACTGAGGTCTGTGGAGGGGACTAGGGGAGGGACAGTGGGGAGTAGGGAGTTGGGGAGGGATAACATGGGGAGAAATGCCAGATACAGGTGATGGGGATGGAGGCAGCAAACCACATTGCCATGTATGTACCTATGCAACAATCCTGCATGTTACTTACATGTACCCAGAAAGACTCGTGTTCTCCAATTCACTTTAGATTTTTTGGTCTTCCTCTTTGTGAGGGGTTTAGGGTGAACACTCTCTAGGCAACTAACTGTTCTTAGAAAATTTAGCTGATACTCGACACCCATTGTAGAATGGCTCAAATATTGGCTTGAAGCCTTGGGCCTTTGTGCACATTAATTGGGAATCCAAGTCTGAGTACTGACAGTTTTCGTATAATTCTAGAAAAGATCCAGCAGTTCTGCAGTGAAAATACTCCTACATATAATCAAGAGTATGTAACTATTTTCAGAATTTATTACCAACAGTTTGTTCCTTTTCCATCTGGATGGATTTGAGAGTCTGCCTAGGTCTAGGCCATCTGAAGACCATAGCCACCTCTACTCTGGGAGGGGGCTGAGGTACCCCACCTTGGCTTTGCCCATGTTGGGGCCTGGTAACCATCACTTGGAGATGGGGCTGTTATCTCTTAGAAGACCCCAGAACCAGGGATCTTTGTCTTTCAGCCCACTTTTCCTGAAATTTGACCCCAACGTGCCAACTATGCTGTATTTTTTTTTTCCTTGAGACAGAGCCTTCCTCTGTCACCAGGTGCCAGGCTGAAGTGCAGCGGTGCAATCTCAGCTCACTGCAACCTCTGCCTCCCAGGTTCAAGCAATTCTCCTGCCTCAGCCTCCAAGTAGCTGGGACTACAGGTGCTCACCACCATGCCCATCTAATTTTTGTATTTTTAGTAGAGACGGGGTTTCACCATGTTGGCCAGGATGGTCTCGATCTCTTGACCTAGTGATCCACCTGCCTCAGCCTCCCAACGTGCAGGGATTACCGGCGTGAGCCACCACACCTGGTCAACTATGCTGTATTGAAATGAGTGTTGCTTGTGATAAGGCCTGTTTTTGAGACTTAGTAGCAAAATTCTCTGACCATAAACCGTGGACTACAACAGCAGTAATACCTCAGAAATAGTTCACAACAGGTCAGGAAGGCTGTGTCTTTCGAGTGCTTTGAGTTTAACCATCTCATACTTGCTATGTTATCAAAACTACAGAAGAGGTGCTCTTTCCCCAACGTCTGAATACTAACAGGAGAGATGTGGCCCTGCCTCAAAAGATTCTGATATTGGACATCTTTTATTTTGCCTGCCCAGGCTCCTTTACTCCATTTTCGGATCATATATGCGTCACTGTCTGCTCCAGGGGTCTCCCTTGTGACTTTCCTCTCTTTCTTCCACACTGTGACATGAGGACTCTAGGGGTACATTTCCTAACCACTGTCTTTATGAATGGCTAGCCATGATCCATCTAAATTACCAGTTGTTCCATCTTTATCTTTCTTAATTTCTTGATATTCATGTTTTCTCATAGGATACAACAAAGAAGTCTTCCTGGCCCTACAGCATGCTCTGGATAAAGCCATTATGTGACACCATGCTCACAATGTGACGACCAACATGTTTGAGAGTCTCAAAGTACTTGTGAAGAGATTCCCACATGGACCCTATATCTATGACAGGTTCTTCCTAGTCCTTCAGAATGAGTTTTCTCTGTTCCTCATGCTCAGCTTCATCTGTATTGAGCTCATCATCATCAATTCCATTGTACTGGAGAAAGAGAAAAGACTGAAGGTAACTCCAGCTACTTCAGGTGTCTGCCTTTCCTGGGACAGGGGTGTGGGAAAGCTGCTAATGAAAAAATGACCAGAATAAAAATGAGGCCAAAGCAAGTAGGAGGTTGCTTAGGTGTCTGAGCATATTCCAAGGTGGGTTGGAACTTGGAAGGTCGTTAACAATTTTAACCTGCTTGCAATCTAGGTGATGCCATCTCTGTCATTACATGAATCATTGCCTTTAGTCTCAGAATGTCCAGCCTGGTCATTCCTGGTTGGCCAGCACACTGCCTCCTACTAGGTAGGTGTTTGAAAATGTTTGTGGAATGACGGATGATAAGAGATCTACCCTTCACCATTCACTGCCTTGCTTGATGCCCTGAAGGCTGACCTGCAGGGATTCCAGTACATGTTCCCACAAGGAATCTGGTGGGACCTCAGAGGGAAGAAGTAGGAGGATGAGGTCCCTGTGTTGACCCTAGGCCAACAGGGAGAGATCCATACAGGTCATTTTGGGTTCAGCTTGTTCCTTAACTGAAGGTCCCTGTTCTCTCGAGATGTCTTGCTCTACAAGACTTTCCCATTCTGGATTCTAGTAACCTCTTTCTTCTCATCCACTTGGGCCCAGGGAGGGTAATGCTTTTGCTGCTAGCCCTAGCTTACTGAACCATTCCATAGGGTTTTCTGTCCCTGTGCATACCTGTGCCTGTTATAAACAAACCCTCTGAATTACTCTAATTTGAATATAACAGTTTTCTTTAGGGATCTTGAATGATACACAATTCTATGAGATAACTAGTACCATTATTTAGTAGAGGAAGTAACTTGAGACATAGAGAGGGTAAAAATTTCAAGATAATTTTATATGGAACAGTACAACCTAGCCATAAATACAGTTTTCCTTTCCAGATAAAGAGTAAAAGTAAAACAGCTTTCCAGTAATTAATTAAGCTTTAGTTTCTCTGCGTGGAATCTTAGATGAAATAGGCCAGAGAGGAAGGTGTTCCATTTCCTCTTGGTGCAGAGTCAGGAAAAGATAGACTGTAGGGGAGTTCTAGAAAAGCATTTAGCCCTGGATGCTGATAGGATTTATGTGGTTGTCTCCTCCATTCTATTCAGGTGATGCCCTGAGACCCAACCCAAACTTTCAACTCTTCCTTAGCAAGATCCCTGGAGTAGGCAAGTTGTGTTCCAGGAGGAGTCATTAATATGGGAAATATTCCAAGAGGGAGAATGCCCTGACAGTGTTTGGCCCTGGGACCAAGGTGGGGTATGGGTAGTGGGGCACTAATGTCATTTCCTTCTTTGAACACTGAATACAACTAATAGAACCCTCTCTTCGTAAACTTCCTCATGTTGATTTAGTATGACTGTGTAGATGGGTTAAGGAGAATTAAAACAGATTGTCTTTAATTTAGGAACTGCCAGTATCAACTTCATTCCTCCTATTCCACTCCCCCTCTCAGCATAAGCCCATTGCTTTGGTTAACTGTGTTCCTTTTCTATTCCCCAAATAGGTACTGGGTATTCTGCTCCTCCTATGGGCAGGCCTCTCTTCTTTGCAGTTCACTTCTTTCAAGAAGGCTTTCTAAATTTCATCAGTCTTTCATCCCATCTTCTTATAGCGTGTTGTTTCTAGCTCTTAACTGATCTCCATGTAATCAGTCATCCAAACTAACTGCCATTCCATCCCCTCTGTAAAACTTTCAGATTGAATCTTCCAACCTGCTGCAGCTGGTAGGCTTCTCTCTAGTGAATTTGGGTTTATCTCCTTTTACCTGCTGAGTTGTATGCTTATCAAGGTTTGCTCCTAAATCTCCTTACACCTGTATTCATTCTTATAATTTGCAATTTAATTAAATATTATGTAAATAGATGAAGTGGACTGGAGTTACCTTTGAAAATTTAGTTGAATGCTTTGGAAAAATTCAGTAAGGCAGATCTCTTAAAAAATGCTAATAAATTTTGCATGAGGCCAGGCACAGTGACTCATACCTGTAGTTGTAGCTACTTGGGAGGCTGAGGTAGGAGGATTGCTTGAGTTCAAGGGTACAGTGAACCATGATCATACCATTGCACTCCAGCATGGACAATAGAGTGAGACCTTGCCTCTAAAAAATAAAAATGAAAAAATGAAAAATAAATTTCATGTGGGTGAAACTTCTGTGAAATACGAGAAAAAAATATAAAAACCTGGGCAGAATCTGTACTAGAATGCTTCACACCTGTATTCATGTCCTCAGTCCACTTTCAAGTGTGCTTTATGGGTGGGGTTCACATTGCTCCAATGAGCAGGCCCATGCTTCAAGAGAAGAGTTTGTGTGCTGACATCAGAATACCAGCACACATTGTATATCATATGCTATAAGTAAAAATAAAAATGTAAGAGAGAGAGATATATATATATAAAGCATTTTTGTGATTCCTTGCTTACTCAACTTGTTTTTGATTAACCAACTAACTACTAGTTCCAATTTTAAAAGGTAAAATGGCTTCTTCTGTAACTCTAGTGTGGCTTATACACTGTTATTATCATATGTGTATCTTCGGTACTAGATTGTGAATTTTCAGAAGGCAATATTTTGCCTTTTATATCTTAATCTTTCCTGCACAGTACCTAGCACAGTGCTTTGCATTTATTCACTTACCAAGTATTGATCAACTGACTTATATTTCTGAGGCACATGCATTAGAGATAAACATATAAATGACACACCCCATTCAGGTGATTTATAGCAATAAAATCAAGTGTTACAAAAGAACCCCAAATGCTAAGGTATTGGAGTGTGTAGATGTTATGGCCATGCGGAGAATAGGCAAAGCTGACCAGACAAAGTTTCACAGACCGAATAGCTCTTGAACTAGGTTTTGAAAATCAAGTAGGATTTTGCTATGTAAAGAGAAGATGAGAGAAAAAGAGAACAACATATGTAAGAAAAAAAAATTTTTAAGACATAGAAGTCATAGTGCATTCAGTGAGTTGCAAAATGTTTTATGTAACCAGGGCGTAAGATGCCAGGGCATTTAGATTTTCTTTTCAGAGCCATAGGAGCCATTCACTTATACTAGGCATTCAATACATGAATGAACTATCAGTAAACTTTCTATTGTAAAAGAAGAATAATTTTCATACAAGGCCAATCTCTACATATGTAAGCCAGATAAATGCTATTCATTGGTTTGTACTTTTCTTTCAAACTCAGTCTTTGCTACTCCTACTGGCCACACACACAACTCTTCATCTCAGTCTGTGTTGAGGTTTCAGGAATAGACTGCTGAACCAGGCTACCTAGCACTGAGTGTTGAACTGTGTAATACCTGCTTCTTTTGCTTTCTCTAGGAGTACATATGCATGATGGGACTGGAAAGCTGGTTACACTGGTTTGCTTGGTTCATCACATTCTTCATTTCTGTCTTCATTGCAGTTTCATGGCCATTCTCTTCTGCACAGAGGTACATGTCTCTTGTCCTTCAAGATATGCTTAGCTATGAATATGTAGGAAAGAAATTTGGTGTTTTGTGGGTGGTAGTGCTGGAATTCAATATATGATGGAAACACCATTTTTTTTTTTTTTTTTTTTGGCTCACTGCAACCTCCCAGGTTCAAGCGATTCTCCTGTCTCAGCCTCCCAAGTAGCTAGGATTACAGGCATGCACCACCATGCCCAGCTAATTTTTGTATTTTTGGTAGAGGCGGAGTTTCACCATGTTGGCCAGGCTGGTCTTGAGCTCCTGACCTCAAGACATCCACCTGCCTTGGCCTCCTAAGGTGCTGGGATTATAGGCATGAGCCACTGTGCCCAGCCAGACACACCATTCTTGATGATCACATGGAAAACTTCAGGTTGTATGTGGTGGTATTCTCTGAAACTTGTGGGGATTTAAGCATTTAGGATCTTTAAGATCAGGGAGAGCTTTGTCCTCCTTTCAGTTCCCTCACCTTCAAGTACTGGAGATGGGTGTGATTAATTTCTTTAATAGACAGGAATGCCAAAAATCTACTTTATAAACTTTAAAACACAAATTTTATACTCTACAAATAATTGAAAATAGTTATTATAAAAGATAACATTATTTAATGTCTATGATATCTTGTAATTTTTTTCTTTTATGTTATCAATGAAATTTGGTGTTAAATTTACCAACTTGCGTTTAGTAACTAAATTAAAACCCATTATTTGGATATATGAATATTTACCTTCTAAATTATCAAAACCGGGGCAGGTTGAACAGAAGAAGACAGAAATCCAGACTAGTCAGAAAAACATATAAAACAAATGAAATGACTGGAAACATTAAAAAAGAAGATTTAAGATATTAAAAGGAAGAGCAGAATTATCTGTAATAGTGATCATGACAAATGAGATAAACTCACTTATTAAAAGAAAAAGCTTGTCAGGCCATGGTTGCTTTTTTTAAAAATGATAAAATTTCACATTGGATGAAAAATTCAATCCAAACTTATGCTTTCCAGAAAAGGATACATGTACAGAACATAATTGGTAAATGGTAGTGGATGTGGGAGCAAAGGTCCTGCATTCAAAAGCTATATATATGTGTGTTTAAGATCATCTCAAATTTTAAAAACAGTTTCTACATTGTTTTAATGGAAGATTTGCTTTCTTCTTATTTAGTTCATGTAAAAATTATCTATATGATTGTTTTATAGGTGAAAAATGTGGCAGCGTTCAAGAACAGTGACCCTAGTCTGATATTTGTTTTTCTAATGTGTCTTGCCATTGCCACAATTTTCTTTGCATTCATGATCAGCACATTCTTCCAAAGAGGTGAGTCCTGATACGATTTTCTGTCAAGGAGTGTTTATGACTACTTCTTCTAGTAGCATTGCTATTTCCATTATCTATGGCCTTCACTATTATTTCTTGAGAGCTGTGTTTTCACTTTTATGGTTATTTTAGCAATGGAAGACTTCCATTCTCCTCTTCTGTTGAGATGTTGAAACATCTCAATATGTGTATGTTTTTATGTTTCATTTGGCTCCTTAATATAATTTAAAATGGAGGCAGTTAATCTCAAATTGGAAGGGAATGAAGGGGTAAGACATCCAGGGCAGATAACTTCTAAGGTCTTAACTGTAAAGTTGGGGCACAACAGTAAAACGGTTTATAAGACACCACAGTGAGAGAGGAGTTCCTGGAAATTTTTTTTTGTTTTGAGATGGAGTCTCACACTGTTGCCCAGGCTGTAGTACAGTGGCTCGATCTTGGCTCACTGCAATTTCCACTTCCTGGGTTCAAACAATTCTCCTGCCTCAGCCTCCCAAGTAGCTGAGACTACAGGCATGTGCCACCATGCCCAGCTAAGTTTTTTGTATTTTTAGTAGAGACAGGGTTTTACCATGTTGGCCAGGATGGTCTCGATCCACCCGCCTTGGCCTCACAAAGTGCTGGAATTATAGGCGTGAGCCACAACGCCTGACCAAAATTTTTTTTTTGGTCAGGTGAGGGTGTTACCTCTAAAACTATTGGTAGAATTGATAAATTACAAAGGACAAAAATAACAGGGAGTAGAGTCAAAGTAACAGTGCAGGCGAATGAATTTGTGGGTCAACATGGAAAGGCATAGGTGGAAATAATGAAGGACAGGCCCAGCAGTTGGTGACATAAGAAAGGGGGTTGAAGAGAACTGTGACAAAAATCAAAGTGTGGTATAAATGAAGCCAAACAGCTTATTATTTACATTTTTGCATTTTTTGCATCAAATAGCATGTTCTATTATGTGGACCCTGACAAACTGTGACTCTACCAAGGTAAGGATAGATTCTTAGAGAGGTCAGATGGGCCTAAACACTATCTCCTGATCCAAACTCTGTATCTAATTTCCTATATTTGCTTCCATAGCTTTAGGGTAAGCATGGCAGGGGTGATGGTCAAGTAAGAAAGCTGTGTGGGGAGCTTGGAGCATAAATCTCAAAAGATGTCCACAACCTAAGGCTTAAGGTGCTAAAAGTTGAAACCTAAAAAAATTAAACTTGTATCAAGAGGAGGGGAGGGGAGGGGAGGAGAGGGGAGGGGAGGGAAGGGGAGGGGAGAAGAGGGGAGGGGAGGGGAGGGGAGGGGAGGGGAGGTGGCTTACACCTGTAATCTCAGCACTTTGGGAGGCCGAGGCAGGTGGATCACTTGAGATCAGGAGTTTGAGACCAGCCTAGCCAACATGGTGAAACCCCACCTCTACTAAAAATACAAAAATTAGCCAGGTCCGTGGTGGTGCATGCCTGGAATCCCAGCTACTTAGGAGGCTGAGGCAGGAGAATCCCTTGAACCCAGGAGGCAGAGGTTGCAGTGAGCCGAGAAGGTGCCATTGCACTCTAGCCTGAGCACAGAGCGAGACTAAAACAACAACAACAACAAAATAACAAAAACTCTTATGAAGTACAAGAAGTACAAGAAATAATCAGAGGGCTAGAAATAAAAGACAAAGACCAATGAGGTTAGAAGCACCAATCAATCAGGACCAGAGGGAAAACAAATAGAAAGGAAGACTGCCAAGTGTTGAGTCGTATATACGATACAACCCAACATTGTCATCAGTTGATTTTCAATAAAGGGGCCAAGACAATTCAATGTGGAATGAATATCTTTTCAACAACTGGTACTGGAATAACTGACTATTCACATTCAAAACAATGAACATGACCAGGTGCAATGGCTCATGCCTATAATCCCAACAGTTTGGGAGGCTGAAGCAGGAGGAATGCTTGAACCCAGGAGTTCAAGACCAGCTTGGCCAACACTGGGAAACCCCATCTCTACTAAAAATACAAAAATTAGCTGAGCGTGGTGGCGTGCACCTCTAATCCCAGCTACACTGAAGGCTGAGGCAGGAGAATCACTTAAACCCAGGAGGCAGAGGTTGCAATGAGCCGAGATGGCGCCATTGCACTCCAGCCTGGGTGGCAAGAGCAAAACTCCGTCTAAAAAAAAAAAAAAAGAAAAGAAAAGAAACAATGAAAAATTAGCCAGGCATGGCGGCCTACGATTGTTGTCCCAGCTACTCTGGAGGTCATGGTGAGAAAATCAATTGAGCTCAGGAGGTCTAGGCTACAGTGAGCCATGGTCCTGCCACTGCACTCCAGCCTGGGCAACAGAATGAGACCTTGTCTCAAAAAAAAAAAAAAAAAAAAAAGCAAACAAACAAAAAACCAAAAAACACCTATATCACATCATAGACAAAAATTAACTCAAAGTTGTTTATAAACCTAAATGTAAGAGCTAAAACTATAAAACTCTTGAAATAAAATGCAGAGAAAAATCTTTGTGATCTTGAGTTAAACAATACTTTCTTATATAGGACACCAAAAGAACAGCTGATAAAAGAGAAAGTTGTTAAGTTGACTCATCAGAGTTAAAAACTTTTTTGCTTCAAATGTACTATCAAGAAAGTAAAAAGACAAATTGGAATGTTCCTCACACAAATAAATGATAAATTCTTGAGGTGGTGGTTATCCCAATTATCCTGATTTGATCATTACACATTGTATGCTTCTATCAGAATTTCACATGTACCCCATAAACATGTACAACTATTATGTATCTGTAAAAATTAAAATTCAGGGGACCAAATTTAGAAATATTTAGTTTTCCAAAAGGAATATGTGTGTGTGTGTGTGTGTGTGTGTGTGTGTGTGTGTGTAGTATGTATGTGTATGTATACATGTGTGTATATATATACATATTTCTTTTTTTTTTTGAGATGGAGTCTTACTGTCGCCCAGGCTATAATGCAGTGGCACAACCTCGGTTCATGGTATCCTCTGCCGCCTGGGTTTAAGCAATTCCCTTGCCTCAGCCTTCTCCTGGGTAGCTGGGACTCCAGGTGGGCACCACCATGCCTGGCTAATTTTTTTGTGTTTTAGTAGAGACGGGTTTTGCCACATTGGCCAGTATGGTCTTGATGTCCTGACCTCGTGATCTGCCCGCCTCAGCCTCCCAAAGTGCTGGGGTTACAGGTATGAGCCACCATGCCCAGCCACCAAAAGGAATATATTTTTAGAATGTGCTAAAATTTCAGTTTGTTGGCAAAAATTGTGAGGTTCTCCATGGAATATTGCATTTTAGGACCAATCATTGTTCTTTATTAAAAAAAAAAAAAGTCTTTGAATTAAAAAAAACCCTGAGACTTTGAAAAAACATTTCAGATGCTATGTATCATAAGAAACTTGTATCTAGAATAAATAAAATACTCAAAAATAAAACCATAAAACCATATATAGACTCATTCTATAAGGCCGGTATTACCTTAATAAAAACAACAACAACAACAACAACAACAAAAAACCTGGAGGGCTGGGCACAGCCTGGTGTCTCGTGCCAGCAGTTTGGGAGGCCAAGGCAGGCGGATCATGATGTCAGGACCTCAAGACCATCCTGGCTAACCTGGTGAAACCCCATCTTTACTAAAAATACAAAAAATTAGCCAGGTGTGGTGGCACACACCTGTAGTCCCAGCTACTCGGAAGACTGAGGCAGGAGAATCACTTGAACCTGGGAGGTGGAGGTTGCAATGAGCCAAGATCATGTCACTGCACTCCAGCCTGGGTGACAGAGTGAGACTTCATCTCAAAACAAACAAACAAAAAAACAAACTGGAAAAGACATCACAGTAGAACTACAGACCAATATCCACATGAATATAGATGGGAAGAGCCTCAACAAAATACTAGCAATCCAAATCAAACAGCATATTAAAAGGATTATATACCATGCCAAGTGGGATTTATCTTAGGAATGCAAGAGAGATTTAACACATGAAAAGCAAAAAGTATAATATAGCATTTAGTAGAATGAAGGAAAAAAATAAACATATGATCATCTCAATTGATGTGAAAAAAGCATTTTAGAAAATCCAGTACCTTCTCATGATAAAAACAAATCAGGATATAAAGGAACTTCATCAATCTGATAAAGGGGCATTTATGAAAACCCCACAGTTAGTATTATATTCAATGCTGAAATATTAAAAGCCTTCCCCCAATGATCATAAGAGTGCCTATTTTCACTGCTTCAACAGTATACTGAAGCTCTAGCCAGAGAAATTAGGAAATAAAAGGAAATCTGTTGCATCCAATTGGAGAGGAAGAAGTAAAACTGTCTCTATTCAAAGATGATATGATCTTATATAGAGAAATCCTAAAGAATCTACACTAGATAAATAAATGAATTTCGAAACTCCGTCTCAAAAAAAAATAAAAAAATAAATAAATAAATAAAATAAATGAATTCAGCCAATTTTCAAGATACATGATCAACATATAAAAATCAGTTGTGGCCAGGTGCAGTGGCTCATGCCTGTAATCCCAGCACTTTGGGAGGTTGAGGTGGGTGGATCACGAGGTCAGGAGGTTGAGACCATCCTGGCCAATGTGGTGAAACCCCATCTCTAAAAATACAAAAAATTTCCCAAGTGTGGTGTTGTGTGCCTGTCATCCCAGCTACTTGGGAGGATGAAGTAGGGGAATCGCTTGAACCCAGGAGGCAGAGATTGCAGTGAGTGGAGATTGTGCCACTACACTTCATCCTGACTACAGAATGAGACTCAGTCTCAAAAGAAAACAAAAAACCATTAGCTAGGTATGGTGGCGCTTGCCTATAGTCCCAGCTACTCAGGAGGCTGAGGCAGGAGAATCACGTGAACCCAGGAGACAGAGGTTGCAGTGAGCTGAGATTGTGCCGCTGCACTCCAGCCTGGTGACAGAGCGAGGCTCTATTAAAAAAAAAAAAAATCAGTTGTATTTCTATACGCTAGCATTGAACATTCTGAACAGGAA